CAGCCAGGGCATTGTCAACCCTCAGCGCATTGCACCAAACTCATTGGAAGTAGTCATCGATGGTGTTCCATAATCCTGAAAATAATCAAAAGCAGCACAAATATCAGCATATTCTCTATTATCATACCCTGCAGAAATTTCAAAATTTAAAAGAAAAAATTCAAAGGGTCGGGATCAATAAGCGCATGTGCTTTCTCCTCAACGAGTACATCAATCATGTATATTTGATGACACTCATCATCTTCCTCGGGCTGCTTCATGACGTGAAAGATGTTGACGTCTAATGTCATGTTCCCAAAAGATAGCTTCATCAAACCATTTCCAAAATCGATAAAAGCGTTAGCTGTAGCAAGAAAAGGTCTACCAAAAATAATGGGAATCTTGGAGCTAACATTCATATCTACTTTCACATCCAAAATAAAAAAATCCACAGGGTAGCAAAATTTTTCAATCTATACTAGCACATCCTCAACTACCTCCCTAGGTCTAATAGTGGACCGATCAGCTAATTGCAGGACCACTGTAGCAGGTTTGATCTCACCTAGACCTGACGCTGAGTATATAGTATAAGGCATGATGTTGACACTAGCCCCTAAGTCGAGAAGAGCTTGTGAAATCTCATGGTTCCCTATGACACAAGAAATAGTAGGACAACCAGGGTCTTTGTACATTGGCGGGACATTTTGTTCAATTACAGCACTCAAATGTTCAATCAAAAATGCAGTTTTCTTGACATGATGCTTCATTTTTACAGTATACAAGTCCTTAAGGACTTCAGCATATGTGGAATCACGTGCAAGAGTGACATATTGATTTTTACTTGTTTAAGATGCTCAAAGATTTCACTATGTTGCCTGACAGATTTTGAGGTAGAACTAAAGGGAAAGACACTCGTGCTAGATTTTCCACTACCTCCTCACTCAGGATATTCTCTTTTGAATTACTAGGCACCTTTTCATTTTCCTTAGGTTTGAGAATTGGTTCTATGAACTTATCAGACCAAGTGGTTATGTCATTTACTTCTCTAAGATTGCTTTCTCCTGACTCAGAAGTTTGTACCATGTGTTGTCCCCTAGGGTTCGGTTGAGTTCACGCAGAAAATTCTTCTCGCTCTCCTACAACTAAGGTATTAGTTAGTTTGGACATATGAGATTCTATTTCCTTGTTTTCTTCAACAATTTGGTTGATCATAGTCTCAAACTTTTGGTTAGTCTTACTCTGTGCCTCTATAAATGTAGGGTGTCTTCTAAAGAGTTCCTAGAGGATGTAGGCTAATAAGGAGGTGCAGTGTGAACTTTATTTGGTTGGCCTTCAGATTTTCAGTTAAGATTGGAGTGATTTCGCCATCCTAGATTGTATGTTTCAGAAAAGCGAAAATAAGGGTTTTGGTATGTGCCTAAGGCATTGCAGTGTTCCTCGTAAATTCCCTTCATCTCAGCGTAGATAGCTCACTCTTGAGCTCGATGATCAACACGGGATGCATTCTATGTAGGCTTTGAGTCCCTAGCATGTAAGATTTCGAGTTCTTTAGTGAAGGCATCTACCTTGGCTCTAAGGTCATCCTCCTCCCTAAGATGATAATTGCCTGTGCTAGTGGTGTTTTCGATGGATCATGACCTATTGGTGCTATTAGTGACAATATGTCCAGTCCAGGTATGGGTTTTCTCGGCTAAGTCATCTAAGTACTCTATAGTCTCATCTGGATATTTTTGTAAGAAATCACCATTACACATCATTTCAACAAACTGGCATTCTCTAGATGTTAATCCCTCGTAGAAATAACTCACCACACGCCAACTCCATAACCATGGTGGGGACAAAGGGCTTGCAACTATTTATATCTTTTCCAGGCTTGGTATAAAGTTTCACTATCCTTTTGGGTAAATGAAGAGATTTGCTTCTTAAGGACAGTGATTTTATGATGGGGATAGTAGCCAAAGAAAGCTTGGGTCATTTCAACCTAAGTCCCAATCGAACGTGGTCGCAATGAATACAGCCAGCTCTTTGCTCTTTCTTTAAGAGAACACGAGAAAAATTTAAGCCTGACTGCATTCATTGTACCAGTTGATTGTGAAAAGTTACAACCACCTCTTCAAATTCCCTAATATACATGTATGGGTTTTCATTTTCAAGATCGTGAAATGTGGGAAAAAGTTGGATCATTCCCGATTTAATGTCCATATGTGGCATATTAGGTGGAAATATAATGCATGATGGTGTAGATGCAAGTGTGGGGTGAAGATAATCATGCAAAGTCCTAGTTGGTACCTCGTCGTGTTCACTATCAGTCATTATGTTGTGTGTGATGTGTGTGCCAATAGATTCGGTATCAAAGTGAGGGTTAGGAAGAGATCCAAACACTGGTTGTGGCCTTCCAATGAATCGTCCTCGATAATCTCAATCTTTGTTCATAAAACACCAAAAAATATTAAATTTTGTGAGAAATAACAGAATAAAAACCAATAAAATTAAAATAGCTAAAAAATGTAAAAGAGGAACGAAGTCACCTTTTTGCTCAAAAGATCCTTTGATTATTTGTACCTTCTCCTCAACAAAAGCGCCAAAATTTGATTATGCCCAAAGTATAATGCGGTGATTGTAGTACGACTTTGGGGTGTCGATTCCACAGGGAGATGGAAAATTATTGAAATGATACATTAGTTTGAGGGTTTTGTAAATTTTGTAAAAGAATTTATCAATTTGAAATGAAGTTTAACTATTAGTGTTTGAGATAACGAAGTCTGAATCGATATACGAAATAATGAAGCACTGGAATTCCCTCAATTGGTTCAGATTAATCAATACCAATCACGTATTCTAATACTCAATTAAAGTTCTTTTATCCTATTACTTTAATTGGAAGATGAAACAGTGACACCAATTTAATTTCACCATAATGCTATATTAATTCTAAAATCCAAATTTCGCAAGACACATAACCACTTTAATCCATTTGAAATAAGATTCAAAAGCAATTATATACATCAAGCATATAATGGTAGAGAATCACACCAATTGGATAATAGAAATCAAAATTCAATCAATACTTCAATTCTTCAATGGAATTCAATTCTTCAATGGAAAGAACACGATTAGATCCATGAAAAACTTAATACCAATTAAATCAATTTCAAAATACATTCATAAAACAGGAAATCCAAACCCTAGAATTGTTTATCAATGAAAAACCAAATTACATGCATGAAATGACATTAAAATCACCGATACCAATTGAGTTCATTCGTGGCTTAACCAAGAATTCTCTAGCCTTCCATGGCATTTTCTTGGGTCAAAAGATGAGAAAAATGGTGTCCCGGTTCATTCCCCCACATTTTGGAGTGTTTTTGGCTTAAAGAAACATGTGAAAATGTATTTCCATAAGTGGTAGCATCAATTTAGGAAGCTGAAAATTCGGCTCAAAGTATAACCATTTTCTTCACCAGACAACTTTCAATATTTTTCCATAACTTTCTCTACCGATTTCCAATTGAGGTGATTCAAGTTTATTTGGAAAGCTAACACGAAGGGATACAATTTTGGTAGAAATAGGATTTTTCCAATTCGGCCATTTACTGGGTCAAAAATTGATCTCAATCTCTGACTAAAAATCTAGAACATCCTTGTGCGGTTGGAATTTGATTTGTGAATATGTTATGGTCATATTTCACTTTTTTTTACTTCAAATCGCAAAGATTTCTACTAAGTGTAATCCTGCAGATATGGGAACTAAAATACCTCCTTTACATAAATTTAGGTATTGTTTAAATCTCCTAAATGTCTTTGCCAATTAAATGTGTTTTGCAGGTTCATTGCTCAAATGAAATCAAAGGAATAGTTAACCTCCAATCCACAAATAAAACCCAAGATGTGAAGCAAGGTGGAGATTGTTAAGTTGGTGCTCGACATCTTGGCCCAATGATGCAGCCCAACTAAGCCCATTTGTTGAGAATGTGACCCGGTTGCTTTTAAATTGGATAGAGTCTTGTTTTTTGTTGAACGTGTTTTAAACTGGATGGCTTGGATAATGCCATGTGGTGTCCCTGTGACCATTTGACGTTGGATGCATTATGATTATATATATGCTATGACCCTTCATTTTTTGAGATACGTGAGAGTTTTAGGGGATTCTCTCAAAAGGAAAACCTCTGGTTTTTCTGTAATAGTTGTTGTCTAGATATCCTTGGTGAAATCTAGTGTAGGCTATGTTGATGAGCAGTTATTTTTTGTTACTCTGTAAGACACCTGACTAGATCCAAATACATGAATAGAATGCTATAAGACATTGACTAGATTCAAATACATAAATTATTCTAGAATATATGATGGCCCAAAAAAATTTATTCCAAAGTTAATTCTCTCTTGAAGTTCTGAGTGTTAATTAGTTTCCTGCAATTCTTTGTTTCTTATTGATATGAGGAAAATGCAAGAAAATTACTAGCAAAGCAAAGGACAAACATTAGATTTTATTTAACTTGGACATAACTGATAATGCATGAGCCGACATTAGATTGATTTTCAATTATTGCTTGCATTGATATTAATGGATAATTAGCTCATTGTGTAAGTAGATTGTCGTGAAATATGAAACCTTGTTAATTTCAATCACTTGAATCCTCGTTCTAATTAGTTATGTTGATTTCATTTACTTATTGTCTTTTTCTTTAGTTATTTCAAAAACGAACTCTAATATTTTAAACTAGACTAGAGTTATAATTGATTAGATTAAATTAGGCTTTCAATACAATCTTTATGGGTTCAACATCATTGCTTACTTTTCCATAGTCCAAAAAAGATTTGTATGCTCCCAAGTATTTAAAATTTTACAGCACAAGAACTTAAATATTTATCGTGCAAAATATTGGAATATACTTTGCTTTCTTCTCCAGTTTGGAACATATGTTGCTATCCTCCCAAGTATGGAACATATGTTGCTGTCATCCCAAGTTTGGAACATCTTGTGTAATATATATACGGTGACAAAGAGATTGATTGGTGAAACATTAGTAGTATCTAAGATGGCAAATAATGAAGGGACCACAAGCTCCAATGTGCAATCGAGTGAAATGATACCTGTTCCAATTCTTGAGAAAGGAGTTTTTCGTTTTGATTGTTCAGTGGATGATAGAAATAATGCATTACCGAGCATTTCATTCAAAAATCCAAAATGCAGAGACACACCGATTACGAACAGTGATCTACACCCAACCTACACTCCTACATTTGAATGTGTTGAGGAAGAACAAAGAGTCAATATTGAGGTAATATTATTTATCATCGCGCTTTCAGAATTTTACATAGTTGGATGTTGTTAAAACATTGTGATTCCATAGTTTTTATAAGTTAGATATCTTAATATACTCGATCGAAACTTTCTGTGTTTTAGTTGCCGTATGGCACCTCTTTTTATGGAACTGGCGAAGTTAGTGGGCAGCTGGAGCGAACCGGAAAGATAGTGAGCTACTTGATCCAGCTTTTACATCACTAAGTATAGTTGTATACTGTTCTTCAAGTACATTCTACCTGTATTATAAACAGATTTCTACTTGGAATACTGATGCATACGACTATACTGAGGAGACAACTTCCTTGTATCAATCCCATCCTTGGGTACTAGCGGTTCTCCCTGATGGAAAAGCATTAGGGGTTCTTGCAGATACTACAAGACGATGCAAGGTACCTGTGAATTTATTGGTTATTTTGTGAGATTAATTATTAGTGAAAATAGCTTTTTAAAAGTCAGGTTGTTGCTTGAGCAGATTGACTTGAGTAAGGAATCAAATATAAAGATAATTGCTCCAATATCATATCCTTTGATCACATTTGGTCCGTTTGGTTCACCAGCAGATGCTCTCATGTCTTTCTCCCGTGCTGTTGGTAATTACGATCATCACACTTTTCATTTTCTGGTCGTTCTAAATATTTTTTACGTCTTTACTTAGGGGTATTTAGGACTGCATAGAGCGTAATCTTACTGATCACTTGGAGGTATATTTGCATTCATAATGTTGCCTTTTCTGCTTCCTTTGTAACTGAAATTCATAAATTCCGACTTCTATGTGCTGTTACATAATTTTAAACCAAGACTACGCTTTTGCTAGTGCTCTATTCTTCTTGTAATCTTCCCCTTCCAACGACCCATAAGTTGAGTTGCAGGTAAAAATATAAAATATTGTTGCATTTTTACTTTCCATATAATTTGAGCTATACAAAAAGTCTAATGTATCGATACATGATCCACAATCAAATTTAGGCCTGGGCAAAAAAATTTAAAAACCCATGTAATTGAGTTGGTTTGATTTTCTTTTAGGGAAAAATTCATATTTAAGGTGTATTCTTTACATCATTTCAAAAGTCAGGTAAGAAGTTTGAAAATTCAAAATTCAGGTTTGTATTTAATTAATTAAAATTATTTATTAAATAAATATATTAAAGTCACAGTTAAACAATTAATGGTCACAGATTTTACAGATTTATCAGTCAGTCACATATCATTAAAGTAATTGGTCACAGATTATTTCGAGGTCACAAATCGAAAATTTTATAAGTCACAGATTTTTTTAATCACAGATTATCAAATTTTAAGGTCACAGACGAAATCGTTGAGGTCACAGATTATTATTTTAGTCACCAATCGTCAAATTTTAAGGTCACAAACCAAATCGTTGAGGTCACAGATTATTGTTTTAGTCATAGATCGTTACAGATCGTCAAATTTTAAGGTCCTAGACCAAACTTTATGGTCACCCCTTCCATTGGTCCCATCCAGCACCAATCTTGGTCACAAACCACCACCATCCAATCGTCGATTGCACTGTACCAACGCAACACCACACCCGATCTTGATCCAATTCCACCACAGCACACCAAAAAAAACCATTATCACCGTCTGAACCACACCATCACCACCAACATCGTGACCGTCAACAATACGGAGATCACCACACTGCACAACACCACAACCACCATCCAGCAGAAAACCCCAAACCCAACACCCCCACCAACTCCACCACGTCGTCACCACCAGATCCACTAGTTCACCACCATCCCCGTTCGCCGCCATCACCAAGCCACACAACAACCACCGCACCACACCACAACCACCACCAAACACACCACCCACAAGCCATGACATAACAAAAATCCCCGAACCCCCAAACACACCACCCACGTGTTTACCAGCAAAACTACAGATCCGCGTGCGAGGCATCGACGCTGGAGTTGCACGAAGCGCCGATTGCTCCTTCAATCGACATTTTGGCAATTGGCAGCACAGTGCTTACACCCCAACGCTACCAGCTGAGAATTACAGCAGCCTCCACTGATGACCACCACCAACACACCCCGACGCCGCAAGCTGAAAACTACAGCAGCCTTCACCGAACAACACTACCACACCCCAAAGCTGCCAGCCGAAACCACAGCCTCCACCGACCACCACCACAAGCGGCCTCCACCACTACCACACCCGATCCGCCACTGCAGCGACTGCATCGGAGAGGGGCGGTGACTGGCAATTAGATGGAATAAAGTTAGAGAGAGAGAGAGAGAGAGAGAGAGAGAGAGAGAGAGAGGCGAGAGAACAAAAGGGATGAAAATACTAGGGTTTGGGAATTCAATTTCAATATTTAATATTTTATTATTATATCAATACCTGATATTTGAATTATGAATCTTAGTCACTGATGTTTGAATTGTGATGTTCAAAGACCTGGAATTATGTAATTTTCCCTTTCTTTTAAACAAAACCATGATGGGTCGATTCAATCATGGTTTGAAGTCTCAAATCGTTGGTTAACCGAACCAGCCCAACCCACTTATGTGTTCACCTTTTTTTTTTTTTTTAAATTTAAGAAAAACAAAAATCAAAAGATAAACTCTAATATCATAACTATGTTTCGATTCCTTCCGATCTATGATGTTGTCAGTAAGTAATAGTGCTGAAAATTTTCTTTCACAAGCTTATTATGTTACACTTAGCATTATTTTCATATTAAGGCGGTCAGACTACATAATACATAAAAAAGCTATAAAATTTTTAAGTTTTCTACTGATCCGTCTCTGTTAACCTAATTTTATTTGTAAATCAATAGTTCTTATAATATAAAATTATTTGGTTATTTTAGTTCTTGTAATTAAGTTCACTTAAAACTTGGACAATTTCTTTCAAAAAAATTTAATTTGGACTAAAAGTCGAAACCGATTAACCAAACCGAACCCAAATGGTTTGGTTTACGAGGTAAAGTGGGTTGGTTTGGTTTGAAATTTGTCCAAACCGACAAATTTGGTTTTGGTTTTGTTTTTGGGTTGGAGTCGAAACCGACCCAAGCCAAACCGCGCCCAGGCCTAGATTCAAATTTGTATTTCGTCACACAATATTATTGTTTTGCTCTGTCTATGTACCTTCCCTGGCGCTATTATTTGATTGAGGAATTTTGCTACCAGGTACTGTTTTTATGCCACCCAAATGGTCATTAGGCTATCAACAATCTCGTTGGAGCTATTATTCTGATCCAGAAGTTCGCGAGGTTAACAATATATAGTGTTCAGATTTCTTATTTGCACATACACCTTCTTCTACATCTTTCTCCATCATTTAGTTTCTCTTTCCGTGTTCGAATATGATAGTTTTCTTAGTCTTAAAAATTGTGGTCCTCTTTAAATGCTATGAATTTTCTTGTGTAACACGAACAATTTGAACTTGGAATTTTGTTATGGAAGCTCATATTTTTATTACTGTTGTTAAATTTCATCTAGTTTCTTCAAGCATGTTTACATTTAACATTAAACTCGTTTTTCACTTGCCCAATGCAGATTGCAAGGAAATTTCGTGAAAAAAAAATACCTTGTGATGTCATATGGATGGATATAGATTACATGGATGGTTATCGATGTTTCACATTTGATAAGGCATGTTCCATCTACTTAAAAAGTTGGTTTGTTCTAGAGTTGAATTATAAAACATACTTTGCTGTTTATATCTATCTTAGTACCGGTTCTCGGATCCGAAGTCTCTTGCAAGCTATCTTAATCAAAATGGTTTCAAAGCAAACTGGATGCTTGACCCAGGGATCAAATGTGAAGATGGCTATTTCGTCTACGACACTGGTTCTAAAAGAAAGATATGGACTCAAACTTCTTCCGGGGAGCTGTTTGTAGGTACTTATAATGCCTTCATCCCTCCTCACCAACTTGCAGGGGGGAAAAAAAAGAAAAAAAAAAAAAAGGGGGAGATGAAAACTGGAAAAAAGCGTGAACTTGCAGCCAAAAAATGTTTTGTTTGTTTAAAATTTACTCCGTTAATATTAATTTTATCTGCTTCCATCTTTAGGTAAGGTGTGGCCTGGAGATTGTGTATTTCCCGACTTCACAACATCAGAAGCCCGTTCATGGTGGGCTAGTCTTGTCAAGGACTTTGTTACTAATGGTGTGGATGGTTTATGGAATGATATGAACGAACCGGCTGTTTGGAAGGTGAAGTTCAAATAGTGTTAGAAGTGTGTTTCTTTAATTTCTGGATTTGTGTAACATATTTTCTTGCAGACTGAAAATAATACAATGCCTGAGAGCAATATTCATAGGGGAGATCCAGAATATGGAGGCGAACAGAACCATTCACACTATCACAATGTACCGCTTCGCCCTGGACTCTTCTTTAAGTACTTAAACTTTTATTCATGAAATTGACACGAGTAGCTGAAGCTTTTTAGTTTGAGTAGTACTAGAAGATGAAAAATAATCCACTTCAATGATTTTCATTCACATCATGTGTAATATAAGTTGCTCATTTCAGGTTTATGGAATGCTGATGGCAAGATCAACATATGAAGGCATGAAACTAGCTAATAAAAATAAACGTCCATTTGTCCTTTCTCGAGCTGGGTTTGTGGGAAGCCAAAGGTATGCTGCTACATGGACAGGAGATAATAGGTCTAATTGGGAGCATCTTCAAATGAGTATCCCTATGGTTCTTAATCTGGTAAGTGGAAGATAATGCGAAATATGTCTATGGAAACCATAGAGGAGACAACATTGTTTTGTGTTTTCAATGTGCCACTGTTTCAGACTCAAAACTGTTTCCCTTATTGAGAAATACTTTGTGTTGTCAATCAGCGCAAGAGACCAAATTATTGGAGGATATCCCTCATGGGCACAATATGTTAGATTTGTCGCTTTTGTTATTTATCGAAGTCAATTTTTTATGCTTGAAGCCCGCGAGGGATTTGGAAGCATGTTTCTGCAAATGAGAAGCCTCATAAGGGACTTGAAAGCATATGCTTATTCTCTTGTGTGTGCATGCACGTGTGAGAATGAATTTATGTGCATGTGTTAAGTATCTATTCTTGTAAAATATATGCTTTCATTCAAGAATTACTATAAGGGAAGAGGGAGATAAAAAGTGACTCCGGTACTTATCCTTTCTTCTTGTGATATAATGATATTTCTATTTTATTTTTCACCTTATTGAATTTTTCATTGGATTAAAAAAATGCTGCCACTTTTAATTTTTTCCTCTCCCTATAGTTGATCACATTAATGAGCTTGTGTCCAGGGGCTTAGTGGACAGCCATTTTCGGGGCCAGATATTGGGGGATTTATTGGGAATGCAACACCAAAGCTGTTTGGAAGGTGGATGGGTGTGGGTGCCATGCTTCCTTTTTGTCGTGGGCATTCTTATAATTTAAGCAGTCGTCATGAGCCTTGGTCCTTCGGAGAAGAGGTTGGTCCTTTGTCCAAAAATTAGTGAAGTTCATGCATGAGTTTTTTGTTAAATGAATTTTACAAGAATTTCACGTAGTTAGGATGAGCTGACTCATGCTGTAAGGTACATACAGTGTATTAACTATGCAAAACTCGTGCATTTTGTTTGCATAGCGTCAGCATTGTCAATAGGCCTCTTTACAATGATATAGAATACGTAAGGGCATAATTCATTTAGCCCCTGGTTGGTGGAGATTAAAATCATGTTAAAATTTCAAATCAAAGTCAATAATTAATTTTAACTACACTTTCATGAGATCATAATTTTTCAGCCAAACGTTTCACCAGCTTTTATCGAAATTTACTAAAAGTCTTTTAATAAAAAATTTCAGATGTGAGAGAGGGTGTTATAGCTAGTTGAACCCTTTTTAAAAGCATAAATTCTTTTACAAGGCCGTGACTCTTATTTAAAATGTATCTTACGAAATTAAATGATGGTGGGTGATATACAGTCATTTTAGGGCCTTCAACTACTGAGTTCCATCTTATCTTTACCCTGAATTGTTTAATTGTTTGAAGTTGAAAAATCTATGTAGATAGTTTCTCCTATTTTAAAGGAGCATAACGGAATTTAGTGGGAGAAGAAACTGAATACCAAAACTTCTTTGTTTGTTATTTGTTCTCTGGAATTTAGCACAAACGCAAATCCTAGTAATACCAAGTACGTAAAAGCCACCTGAAGTGGTAAATCAGTGATTTAGTTTTACCTGAAACGTTATATCTTTGCATTATACTTCTATTCTCTATGTTTAATCAAAGCTATCTTCTTGTACTGGTACAGAAATAATATTATGCTATTTCAACTGAATTTCTATTCATACACCCAAATTTCACTAGTCGTAACAGTGCTATCAATGCATTTACTTTAAGATTACTGCTTTACTCTTCATTTCCTCAAGTGCGTGTCTCTTATCTCTCTTAGTGTGAAGAAGTTTGTCGATTGGCATTGAAGAGGCAATATAGGCTTTTACCTCACATATATAATCTGTTTTACTTGGCACATACACGGGGTATCCCAGTGGCAACTCCAACCTTTTTTGCTGGTAAGTTCCTATGATGGTCTATTAACTGGACTTCCTGACATTTGCATTAGAGTGCATTCGCCTGTATTTGTTTGTTATTAATGTTAAGATTCTTTTGCAGATCCCAAAGATATGGAGTTAAGAAAACAAGATAATTCATTCTTGTTGGGACCAGTTCTTGTATACGCCAGGTTCTCATCTCTTTGAGCTTAAAGACAACGGTTGATTCCATATATGGAATTAATACATGTATTGCTATCAAATATGCTCTCTTTTACGAGTTCAAATTTCCCTCTTATTTTTCTGCTACTTATTTTTCATTTCATCTATAGGTGCTAAAATCGGAAGTATTATTCTTCTAAGTTTCGTTGTTGTAATGTATTCGATTTCACAGCACCAGCGATGATACTGCATCAAATCAACTGCAGCACAAGATGCCTAAAGGAATATGGATTAGTTTTCATTCTAATGATTGTCATCAGGTACTCCTAAATAACCTATTATATGACCTTTTATTTTATTTTGAATTTTCTTTTATCAATAATTTTTATCAATAATTTGTGCCTTTTTAACTTTTTCCTACTTCTGGTTGTACAAGGATTTGCCAACCCTGTACCTAAAAGGAGGATCCATCATTCCTTTGGCTCCTCCTTATCAAAATGTTGGTGAAGCTAAACGTGAAGATGACATAACTCTGCTGGTGGCTTTGGATGAACATGGTAACTTTTCCGTTTTATATATTTTGCTGGCACATATCATTACTTCTGCTGAAGGTTGCAAACAAATAACATTTTTGTTTATGTAATTGGTTTAATTGAATGAATTGAATTTTTACTCTTTAATCACAGATAAAGCTGAAGGTTTTCTCTATGAAGATGCTGGGGATGGATATGAATACCTTGATGGAAAATACTTGTTGACAAAATATGTTGCTGAAAAGCAGTCTTCCACGGTAACCATAAAAGTTTCGGAAACTGAAGGGTCTTGGGGGAGACCAAAGCGCCACTTAAACGTGATATTACTGATTTGCACTGGTTCTGTGGTATGCATTTATTTCACAGTATTCCATTATTTTTCAGTCAAGATTTTGCTTCACCAAAATGTAAAATCTTCCTTCTGTTGAATCTAACTGTTGTAATATTTTTCGGTTTGTCAAATAGCTTTGTGCATGGGGTATTGATGGGGAGTTTGTGCAAATTCGGCTTGAAGAAAGTGCATAAAGGTTGGTTTCAGCTGGAAGTTGACCGTCTGAAGTCTGAACTGAAGCCATTCTTTGGAAGACAAGAAAATGCGTCCAATAATTATGTCCGATTTCATATTTTGTTTTCCATTACTGCATGTGTGTACAATAAATTTTATATATGAAATAATTCTGGTTTGTAATAAGGGTATAACCCCCCCCCCCCCCCCCCCCATTTACCATCAAAGGCAGGAAATTTGAATAAAAAATTAAAAGAGATGTGGAGCGGACTCCCACTCTTCTTGATTGTTAACTCTTCCTTCTATTTGTATCGTTGAGTTGAGGTCATTAGTGTTGTTGGTTGCCTTTTAAACCTCTGTTTGACTAGGGACCTACACCATCGGACATTTTCTTGTCCCGTTACCCATTTAAGGAGGGGCGGGTTGGTTGCCATGTTTAATTTTTTTTTTTTTTTTTTTAAAGTTTTTGATAATTCATTTTAATGCCACCATTCATTCAAGTGAAATAATAGTATAATTATTAAATTTTTTAATTAATTTATTTATTTTTAAAAGTTAAATTATTAGAATATATTTGATAAATTAAGGTTTTTATTGTTTATCACGTTCCTTAGATTAGCTTAGTTACCATTTACATTTAGAATTAATAAAATTTAGTGGAGTTTTCTATTTATTGAATACTTTAAAAAGGGAGGGGACCGTTACCCGAACCCGCTCCGTACCCGCCTCAGGGCAAAATTCCCGGCCTCGTACCCAATCCGATTAATCGGGTAATCCCCGCCCTATTCGAGGTAGGTCCCCGTGATTATCAAGTTTGACGAGTATTTTTGTCATTCCTTATTTGACGGCCAATTTATAAATTGTTTATAAACTCAGTCAAAGTCAAATATTATTTGAACCACACATCAAAACTACTAATTATTTATTATCAAAACTACTATTATTCATCTAACAATTTATCTAACACCCCCCGTCAAACTCAAGATGCAAGTATTGAGAATTCGGCAAAAGTATAGGAGGTAGAATTATTTCCATGGAGCACCTTCCTTCAGGTAACACCAACATTTTTTCATCTTTTGAAAGACTCCTATATTATCTTTGCCTCAAATTCTTTATTGTATTTTTTGCGATGTTTCTGGGGATAATATCATTTTACCATATAGACTTGGAAGGATAATACTCCTTGTATATGTTAAAAATAATTAATAATTAGTTAGAGGGTTTACTAGGGTAATATGTTTACCATTTCAGCATTTAATTTTTCATGTGCCTGTCTATAAACTCAACTTACTCACACACACATTTCCATGTGTTTGATTGAAAAGTGATGCAGCGCAAGTGTTAACAAACGAAGAACACAAATCAATACTTGTTGATTCACGTAAAATGTGGGGAAGTGACAATCAAGACTAGTTTATTCGTGCATGAATATTGAAAATTCATTGATGTCGCTGATTTATAAAGAATATCGACAACACATTAAAATCGAAATTTAAGGTTAATTGAAATTGCATAATTGGTCCCTAAACTCATGAAAATTTATAATAATAACTAATAATAAATGATAATAAAAATTGTTAAATACATTAAAATAGACAGTCGAAATCTTACTTACTCTTCGTGTTTCAATGCTAAATGGAAGCCTAGTTCAGTGGTAAATTTATTCATAGCCTGGAATTCGAGAGTGCTAATTCTGCACTTTACCTGCAACAGTTTACTCTATTTCCTAGCATACTTCTACCATAGACATTCACTTCCTTTGTGTTCTAAGATGCCTCCATTCACTAAGAAAGGAGATGGCTACCTAATGGTCCTAATTCCTTCAAAATAACCAATTTTCCATTCTTTTAGATGACTACTCCCACCTACCCGTGGCGATATCTCTTTAATCCCCGAAAGGGCTAAAATTCAATGGGAGATAGATTACTACCTTCCTTCCTTAAGTCTCCACCCTTTTAGGCCAAGACTAAACTCCTTAGTCACTGGTACGTACGCACGACATCACAGAGCGGGCAAAGTAGGCATCCATATGTGACATGAGGGTGTAAGTTGAAACTGCCTCGAATTTATATGATTGTGACGGCTGAGAATGAGGAAGCAGTACACTAATGAGAATGAGGAAGCAGTACACTAACTTAATTTTTATAAAAATGGCTGGGTGAAGTGATGTTAATTTGAAGATTGGCATACGTTTTATAATTTGGCATGCCTATTGTAGAAGTGGTAGACATCCTTGAATAATTAGTTCATATAGTTAAAAACCCTAATTATTATTAGAATATTCCTCAGATGATGATCGAAATGTTGACCCTAGTTAGTTGAGCAAATAACTTAGTGGATAAATCAATGTCAAAGCCCAACCCAGATTGAACTGAGGCAAAGTGAGAACGTGTAACAGACCCTATTCAAGCCAAAAATTGGCTTAGTACCATTGAACGAACCTCTGCATATAGTCAAATCTCAGAATGGCACGATGTCTATGCTTACCGTCAAAGATAGTGTCGGTCACTGTCAAAATAAGTACTCTTTTTTCTGCATACGTAACAAAATACTCGATGACTTCAGTCATCAATAGCGAGTGTATTCAGAAGATGGATGAGTCGTCTTATTTTGCTCAATTCATGGTCAGTACAGATGAACTTAAAATTGAACGTTTCTCAAGGGATTGTGTCGAGAGATGAATCGAGATGTAAGTATGGCACAAACTAGTGGAGTTACTTCTTCAGCAATAGCTGATCGAGCATTAGTAGCATAACAAATAGAACTAAAGATAACTAAAGCACAGGGAATCTAAATATTCTAGTCACACTCAATTCTTCCTCACTGGATGAGGGTAAAAGAAATAATCAGGCAAAATCCGAATGGAATTTATTCGAGAGGGGAGGTTATAGTGTTCCGGATTAGAAGGTAAAATAGAGAATTCCGTTATACATACAACAATATCATCATAATTTTAAATAAGTGCCGGTAAGGTGAACGTGCATTGCACGTTAAGTAGTTAATGTTAAAAATAAATGTATGTATTTTTAAAAAAAATACATACATTCAGTATTCACTATATTTACCTTCTCATTACAGCTATTTATTTATTGTTTAAGTAAGAATAGAAACTTAAGAAAAAATTCAAAAAGAATAGGTTGAGATTGAAACTCCTATATGAATCCAATATGTAACAGTTGGCAGATAGTCAACAATCGCAAAATATTGTCTACGGATGCTATTTCAACACCAAAACAAACGTGTTTCACTCCAACCTATAAATTGGAAGTGTTGATCTTCGAACTGAACCTCCATTGTTAAGAAATCAGCCACAACGGTAGCCTTCTATTGGTCACTGATGAATGGTTCTAGGCGAAAAGATGCAGCTTAGTTTGCTATGTATCAACATCGTACATCTCACTCCATGCGTGTACTTATTGACCAGGAAAAGGTATATACATAAACTTCACCACTTGATTCATATATGGAAGTGGCTAAAGAAGCTGGATCGCGGATACCATCATCTTCTCGTTTGAGAGCTTGGATTTCACAATTGGCAACCCTCCAGACAGTTATACAACCTCATAAATTTCACTCCAAAAACTGAATATATGTCTGGCATAGAAATTAGTGGATGCACAGCCACTTGACAAGAATCACATATACCTAAGTACGAAATCAACATCTTCTTTGCAACAGTAGAAAAAGATACTCTCAATATTCTCAATCTTGAATCCAATTTAAACAAAAACATACCACCAACTTTACAAGAAAAAATAAAAAACTAACAATTAAGCATCTCATCAATGGGAGGGGGAAGAAAAACAAATTTAACTGTATTTAAATGTATATACGATCAAAGGTCACCCTCCAATTAAAAAAAAAAAAAAACCACCATAGAAATATGAGTAGCTTTCCTTTATTGGAAGTTGATAATTAAGTTAAATTTTAAACCCATCAATCAAAATCTATTCTTTTTATTTTTATTTTTCCTCAAAATAGCTAACTACACAAATTTTTCAACATGCGCATAAAAAAAAAAAAAAGGAAAGGTATAAATTTGTGCCAGTGACCCAGTTCAAAAAATAAATGATCAATCAAACAGCTCATTCTAAATCACACCATAGAGAAATGGGAAGTCAAGATCAAACACATGTTTTTACGACCCAACAATTGATTAACATTCTTATGTTGATTTACTCTTTTTGCTCAATCAACCAAAAAGCTATTCAACATAGAAGTTCAAGCGATAAACAAGAGCATAATATTCACCACACAAACATTCACAAATAGTAGAAAATAAAAGTATCAAAGCTGCAGTGATGGAAACAACACTGCAATCATGCAAAGCATATTTATATGGATATCGTTGATTTGTCAAGAGGTTTTTAAATGAGTTGATCGTTGAATGTTGTGCCTTTAAGTCAATGAGGTAGATGATTTTTCATTGTGTTCGCCCAATATAATCTAAGAAGGACAAAGAATTGCATCGCTGCCTATTTCTTAGGAAAGGGTGTGCAGGAGCAGATGGTTTTATTCGAAATTTGAATTAGCTGAAAAAATGTCGTTTTGTTTTGTGAACTCCATCTTTTTGTCTTTGCATCAAGAGAAACGAATTCAGGGGATGTATTTATGTAAGGGAAAAGGTGCTACGTGTCTTTAAGAAGGTAAAATTCCAAAGTTCACGAACTAAATTGCAAATGTTCAATAGTTGATTTGAGCAAAGAATGAAGACTGAGATTAAATGGATCGAATTGGATGAAATTAGAAGTTGAAGGATGAAAAGGAGAGTAAAAAGGACTTAGGTTAAGCAAGAGCATAGTCGGGGAACAAGCCACACGAATGGGAAAGTTAAGGGCCGATGGATCGCAAGCATAAAAATTGCAGAAACAGACCCCAACTACACTAAACTTTGTGATCGCAACCCACAACTATGGTGCAATCGCATGGAAGGTTTCCGAGCAGAATTCTGGTTTCATTACTTGATTAAACTTTATTATGGAAAGTTGGAAACCACTTTAGACGTGAATTTTGACCTAATTTTGACTCACATAAATACAAAACTTCGGTCAATAATTGAAAACATCTCTCATATCATATAACATACAATTTTTGAAGTCAAGAGGGGTATAATACCAATTTTTTTCCCCTTTTTGGAGAAATCAAGACACAAGACACAAGAAGTTAATCCAATATTGAAGATTATTTTTTTGTTTTTAGCTT